ACCATATCTACTTTAAATATAAGTATTACTTGAGGCTTTATAAGGACTTTTGGACTGAAGTGGAAGAGTAGAGAGCATTAATCGGCAGAGAAATGACCAATAAGGATTTACAGTAGACTGATGGTTGCTATTGTCGAAACGGAATCCAGATTAGTGTTTCGTTTTGCTACGCGATATCAGCAAACTGTTAAGGACGCAACAAAAATCCACTCTAAATTAACTCATGCAATCAAAGTGTTTAGAAAGTTAACTGATCTAAAATCTCATTAAATAGATATGCGAATATAAGGATTGATTTCGTTTAGAGATTTCGCATCCGCAATACCTTCCCCTATGACTAAGGACAGACTTTTAATTTACCTGAGTCAATATTGTCTTTCTGGACCAACGGCCAGACTATTTTGTTGCTCTCAAGTTCGACTCAGACATTCCGATTGCTTATCTCTTTATAAACAGGTAAACTGAGGATATCGAGTCAGATATCCTCCTGGTATACAACATAGAATGTTAGGTTGAAACGATATGAAGAATGATGTCTGTTCTCTCAACATTAAGACTTTTCCACAATACATAGTAATTCAAAATCATTAGTAGAGCGTTTCAACTTTCTATCCAGAGTGGTCTATATCCAAATATTCATGATGAATCTGAAAGACCTTGAATTAGATGGATTCTTACTGGATTTATTAATCTAAACATTTAATTATCGAAACAAATGGGTAACTTGATGTTTCGTGCCGCACGAATAAGTGAATTTTTATGTGATATCAGATACTGCCCAGCGGCTCGAACTAAAGTTTCCTTAGAAGGTCACTCCTCGAGCTTCTGACCTGCAGGTCTAATTCAGAAGACAGTGGATGAAAGTTCGGAGATTCAGTCTAACTATTCTATATGGATCTTCTGTACGTTTTAAACCACTAACATTCCCTACTTCTTCACTTAGTTTCGTATAAAACAACCCTGACAAGAGAAAGCTACGAATAGGACTTCTGGGACAGTGGCTGTGTACCCGTTGCGATTTGATATCATTTCAAGCGGGTGATTAAACTCACCGTTATTTCCGAGAGCTTCTTGGTGCAGTTAAAACTTCCGTAAATGAGAATGAAGAAACCTGTATATCGTTTGATAACTAACAACCAAAGTATTTTAGTGATGATCATAGTCAATCTCGACTCGACCACCACTAAAATACTAATTACGAAACCCTTTAGTGACAAGAAAAATAAATTCACGATTAAGAATATATTTGCTGGCGATATTGTGGTGTCAAAACAACACCTAAATCTAACCAGAAAAGGTGGGAAAATTCACAGAGCTTTAGCGAGCGAATCCAGATACCTGATTGACTATGCCCACCACTAAATGTTCCATACGGTCGCGTGACGAAAAGCAGAACAAAATAAATTAATACTCCATGGTTTCATTGAAGTAGAACGTTGGCATTACATAGGGAGCAGCAAATGGAGAAACATGGCGGCAACGCGAAGAGAACGTTGCGCGCAAGAAGTGGAAGAAGTGTCTTTCGTACAGTTAAACAAAACGAGTACAATAATGTTTACATTTCAAAAATCGCATTTTCTTCGTAGAAGCGTTCCACTACAGAGCTATAGAGCAACAAATGGCAGCAACATGAACAGAAAGTCTGGGCGTAAAGAGTGTTATAAACAAAAAGTACAGTAAAACGAACAATCACTGGTACAATTGATTATAATAATGAATGTTCTTATTAAACCAATCGTGTTCTCTTCATAAAAGTGGATTTACCATAGTATTCCTCTCTGGATTGCACCTGTGCTGTAAAATAATCACTGAATAATTTAGTTAAGGCATCTGTTGGTCTGTAGAGTTTTGTTCATTGATATGGAGTAGCGATATCATAACTTAAAAAATCAGAGCTTAACTCTGTATTTGATTACATTACAGTTTAGGAACGCTGAAATTACAGCCGAATATCGAAAATAGCGTTTTTATAATCTGTTAGTAGGGTAAATACCCAACCAGAAATAAACTTCTAAACCGGTAGACTGCGATGGTCAGATTTGGTGTCTCATACACTTGTCTGTATTTCCAGAGTACTGGAGAAAGATTTCGTGAAGCAGACCTGATTTTTTTTCTCTTTCATTGAATAACTGAGAAATAACTGCGCCTACACTATGACGTGAAGCATCAGCTTCCATGACGATCAATATTGCAGTATCATGAAGTGCTAGAAAAGCTGTAGGCTATTTTGTTTTTCAGTACCGATAAAATAAAAGAAAAGTAGGTTACAAACCACTTTTAAAAAATAACTGTCACATTGAACAAGTGGAAATTCAGAGTTATCTTTTTTATCGATTTTATTTTTAAATAACATAATTAGTTAATAAGTCGATGTAATTAATCATAAACAAATTAGCCGACCACGCATCTGTACATATTGATCACGCTTCAAAAAAAATCGATCACTGCATCCATGTTAAAATCTTTTCCGTTTTGTCATTTGAAGGATGATAGATTGATGTCACTTTGGTGGATTAAATGATTTTTGAGAAATTACTTCCGAAAGTAAAACAACATAATTAAAAAATATAGTGCAGTGATTTTTTTTTTCATTATTCTGTCAACTGACTGATAGTAATTAAGTAGGTAATAAATATTATTAGAAAACTTAAGTGGTGAACAAATTAGATCTATAGACAGTTGGCCTCCTTTTTTGATGAGGCAAGTAAATGTGAATATATCATAATCCAACTTTAACACGTTTACAATCATTTATTTGTAGAGATACAAACATATTGATCAATGGGCGTGAACAAGTAATAATAATTTGACATGAATTACACTTACTAGCTAATTAAGGGGTTGTAGTAAATAAATTAAAGCGTTTTTTATAGATGTAACAACCGTCATTATGAAAATACAAAAATGCACTGAAAACGGAGCTTGATTATTCAGTAATTTCAGATTATGTTGACTGATAAGTTTAACAAAAGATTCTGATGGAGAAAAATGACTAAAATGAAATAGAATCTCAGGAATGAAGTTGCTGTTTTGGATTCGATTTCCGTACTTGATTTTTGTGTGCAGATACAGCCCGTATGGTTTGCCACCGTCTTGATGACCCGACATTGATCTTCATTCTTAGTTGGTCGGCTAGGATTAACTCTTCATACGAGCGATATAATCAGCTATGTTTTATTAGGAAGAGAGTCGAACCTTTATCTAGTTGTAAGTCAGTGACTACATGGATTTGTGCCATGTTTTGGCTTGACTGCCCCTAGCTTTCTTCCAACCTACTCCTACATCATACAACATAGCTCGTCGAGGCAGTCGATGGTTGGAAATTCGTAACACATAGACCAAATGCTTCAACTGTTGAAGATTGATTACTTCATACATTGATTAGCCATTTCTACCCAATACTTGTTTCCTAACAGAGGCATTATTTACCCGATGGTCCCATGATATTCGTACAACGCTTCGAAAACCAGTAACCTACGAATATCTTCTGGTCTTACTGGCCATGTGATGCTCAGCAAACCTGACCTCTGATAGGTAGATAGATATCTTGCCTACGTCATAAATGACGCAAGTTGGCGAAGGCCAATCGTGCCTTCTGTATCGGCGCTGAAATTTTGTTAGTCAACAGACCATCAGCACTGATGAAACTCCCGAAATATTTGAAGTGGTCGATACGCTCAACTACTTCACTTCCTATCACTAGTTCAGGTGCCGATGCAAGCCAATCTTGAAGCAACATTTTGCATTTTGAAGGGAAAAATCGCAACCCCAACATGCTTGCTTTGTTGCTTAGCGTAATCGGAAGACTGCGTTTTGTCAGCATATTCACCAAGTAGAACTATATCATTGGCATACTCTAAGTCGACAAGCGAGGTTCCTGGTAGAAGATCCACCACTGAAAAGTCACGAAGATCGTGTTGTCTCTATAAGCATGTCTATGACAAAATTAATTAAAAACGAAGAAAACAGATAATGCTGACAAATACCACTTGAAGTACTCGATCCGAATAACAGTTCGCCATAAGCTCTGACTCGGCCAGTAGTATTTGAGTAGAGAGCTTGTACACGGGCTAATGTACTTCTTTGGCACTCCTTTCAGTGATAGACACTGTCATAGAACCTTACGATCAACAGAGTCGAATGACACCCTGGAATCCAGGAGAACAGTTATTGTGGGGTCTCTGAACGTGTGTCTGTGTTCTGGGACCCGACGTAGTGTAAATAGTCGGTCTATATAATCACGTCCATATGAGGAAGCGGTCTCGAGTTTGCTCTTTATGAGCCCTAGTTAGGCATCAAACTATCATTGAAACTAATATTTTAGACATTATATCATTCAAAGTGATTGTACAAAGAGAACATTTGTCCTTTCTTACAGACTTAGACAATCAGTGATTGAGATTAGTTGGATGGAATTATCTCCAGTTCCCGAATTCTGCCTAAGATCTCAGTCAATCTATCTGCTAAAACTGGACCACAATCCTTAAAAATTTCCACGCTAAGCCTGTCAGGGCCTGGGTTAACGATACAAGCTAATATTTACTTGAATCGACCTCTAAGCTGATACATAGTCATGGCGACAGCCATATTGATTTGTTCCTCTTTCGATTGTGTTACTTGCTTTGACTGGAATTGTACATTTTGATTGTAAATTGAAGCACTCTTCCAGAATAGGAAACACTCTGTGTTATAAAGCAACTAAATATTACCTTTTGAAGGAATTTGATTGATCCAGAAAGGATAGAATAACATTTATCTGTTGCTGTTGATTTGATTGATTGAACAATTGTTGGTGGAATAACAGAGTGGTAATATTTGTTTAGGTAATGATGTGCATTTATATTTATGGCGAATATTAGAACTGTCATTTACCCAAATCACTTGCTTTAGTTTTAAACTGGGCAATAGCGCTTATCTAAACTACCTACCTAGACAATTATTCCTCAGTTCAAACCTCAGTTTTCAGCCTACAATACCAATTGGATGAATAAATGCATAGATTGTTTTCGTATACTTTAATTCATTCCCATTCAAAATTATCAACACACCGATACAAGTTATACAAAAGGAGAAAAAAAATAGTCAAAAAATTTGCACAAGTAAATAACAACAATAATAAATAAAAATAATATTAGGCAAATAAATAATAATTTACAAGCGTGAAATTTAAGAAAAAAATAAAACTACTGTTTTTCTTTCTGTATAAACAAACAATAGAACGCTCGTGTTCATGTCAACTTACAAATAACATCGATCATGTTATTATTGAGTGAAAATGAAAAAAAACAAGAAAAACAAACACATTAACAACACATACATGGTGTATTATTTACGTGTGAGTGAATTAATTTTGTAGCTGTACTTTAACAAACAAAACAAACAATAAAATTACCTAACTAGAGAAGAAAGTAAATTCACAAGTATGAAGAATAGTTCAGAGGAAAGAACAACTATAGAGAGAGAGAGAGAGAATGAAAAAACAAAGAACAGTAAAGTAATATGCACATAATTAGTGTATCACAAGAAAATAGTGCACAAAAAACAGAGAGAAAAAGAGTGTAACATGAATTATGGAAATTATATATTCACAAAAAAACGAGTAAGTAGTAAATGAATGAATGATAGACACTTTAATCTTTTCGAAATTTTTTAGCTTCATATTTATCATTTCTACTTTGATGTTTGGTTTGTAGTGATGATGATAATGATGACGAGGGGGAGGAATTAGATGAAAGATGAAAAGTATACACATCATTTGGTTGCGTATCAAGATGATTAGCAAACGGTAATGCTATAGTTGGGAATACAATCAGCCCAAAAAGTAAACATAATCCAACTTCTACATAAAAACCATCGATTAATGTTGAACAAGTTCCGTTAACATCAAGACAAGCCTATTTTAATAAAAACAAACAAAAAAAAATCAAGGATGACATTTGTAGCAATAATAAAATATAATTTAACAATGATACTATTATTGTGGTGCGCGCTACTTATAAGTAGTATATGACGCGAGTAAAAACGTAATGTCTGGCAACAGAAGATGGGGGAAGATCAAGAAAGGAAGAAGAGTGGGAACACAATGGGATTTGTATGAAACGCATGAATAGTGAAATGTCGGACAATGGATTAGATGTTTTGCAACAGGAACAGTCCAGTTCGATATGATGGATTGATATTTTGCAAATTAACGATTTGCGATATGGTTTTTCTATTTTACCAATTAACTCTGTAATTTGCGACTAAATACAATTCGGTTGCCCTCAACTGTGTTCTCCTTCACTACACTATAATTTATGAATGGCTTTTGAAAGATACCAAACTGACCTACAGAATACCCACCTACTTGTAGGATTAAAAGGTCATAAATAAATGTGAGAAACAAATAATAGGATTTAGAGCTGGATGTAAGTGATAGGAATTAGAGATGCGGGGGGTGGTTTCATCACAAATTGACATTAGCTACAATGACAAAATGTTACTTAACTATAATGGATAGATAAATCTTGCGCCAAAATCCAAGGCTTGCTAACTCTCAAATGTGATTGGCTCATCCATAAATTATAATCCCTCCAATTTAACAATAAGAATTGTTTAGCTTCTGAATGTAACAATGACGATTTCTGACTTCGAACGGTAAAGTGTAAGGACTTGAATAAACTGAACACCTAATACACAACATCACTTTAAGGTGGACAATGCACAAACTAATGGGATATAGAGTAGACAACGAATTGAAATAAAATAACTCTGTTTATGCAGTAACGGTTAACAACCATGAGAACAAAACAAAATTAGACAAGTGAAAATTGATGACAGACAATGAGATAAGAAGTAAAGGTCACTGAAGAAATATGAATCAACAAAGTGTTATCCCACCCATATATTTGTTAAGGAAAGAAACTAACACAATAACAAAAACTAAATATTTTTAAGACCTTCTTAGTAAGTAATAAATACCAGATATTTGGGTACATTGGGGAAACCTATCATACTGCTGTTGAGAAGTGACAAACATTTCTAGAACAATTAACTAAAGAACAAACAAAACCTTTGTTTGGGCGGTTTATTTTATCAGTAAAATCAATAATACTATTATTAATGAGGCTGTTATTATTTAGTTATTTGTAATAACTACAATGCACATGTGTATGAGAAGTTCACACAACTAATATCGACCAAACAGACGAACAGAATCAATATGAAGCTTATGAAAAAAAGAACTAAGCAATGATTGAACAATTGCACTGAGAATTATCTAAAAACTTTGTAAAGAAACTGCTATGGTTACATTTAAACAGTAATAATAATAATAATAATAATAATAATAATAATAATAATAGTAATAATAATGATAATAATAAAACTTAAAACTTATAGCTCATCATACAATACTACTTGCCTGAATAGTTTTAGAATCTCGACATGTGGCATTATTATCCAACCATAACTGTCCACTATCAAAAATCGTATCGTTTGAATATTTTATAGAATGAGTTAAATTCATTGCATGAACGGATTGAACGGAATTAGTTCGTAACTGTAATAAGCCAGCTTTTAGTATATCAGCTCCATAGCATGTTCTCAGAGTAAATGGTTCAACGAGTGATAGAAATAGAGTATTTGGTAAACTTGTAGCTAAAAAAAATTTTTTTTAAAAAAAAGTTTATCACAAATGATTTAGTATGACACACTTAAAAGCAATCACTTTAAGAAATATTCTGCCTATTAAATCATAAAACGTACACCCACATGAATGAAGAATAATCAAAACTAACTGTTCAGATTGACAGAAACTGACAGAAATAATCAACCTTATAGATTGACAAAACAATATTTTATCGACTGGTATAAATATCTTAAATGGACATATTCACAAACGTATGTTTCTATGAAACTAAGAAAAAGAATTACCACAAATGTTACGAGATTGATAGATTCCTGGTAGAAAGTCGAATCCTGAAAAGTCGGACGAAGATAATGTTATATCTAGGAGCATGTCTATGGTAAAATCAAACAAGAATGGGGAAAGTGAACAGCCCTGACGGACACCACTTGAAGTAAAGAATTCAGATGACAGTTTGCCATAAGTTCTCACTCGACCAGTAGTTTTAGAGTAGAGAGATTTATGAGGTTAATGTACTTCTTTGGTACACCTTTCAATGACAGACACTGCCACAGAACCTCACGATCCACTGAGTCAAATGCCGCCTTAAAGTCCAGGAAAACAACTATTGTAGGACGCCTAAATGTGTGTCTGTGTCCGAGGACCTGTCTTAGTGTGAAGATGTGGTCTATACAACCACGTCCATGTCTGAAACCAGCCTGGTTTTCTCTAGCCTGCTCTTCACGAGCACTAGTTAGGCGTCCAAGTATAATCGAGGCTAACAATTTAGAAACTATATTAGTTAGACTTATTCCCCTGTGATTGTCACAAGAGGACTTTTGTCCTTTCTTACAGATTGGGACAATCACGGATTGAGACCACTCGGATGGGTTTATGTCCAGGACCCCGATTCCACCTAAGATTTCAGTCAATCCAGCTGCTAAATTTGGACCACCATCTGAAAAAATCTCAGGAGTCAGTCTATCGGGTCCTGCTGCCCTCTCTGTAAAGGTATCATATAAACACAAGAAAACATCTCATGTTTTCACGAAAAAGATACACTAATAGATAGATTTCTAGCTTGTGATGATGACGAAGTACACAAATGCTGAGTTAGAAATATTCGACTAATTATTTTAAATATTACTTTAATCAATCAATATACTATCAAACGAATAAACTGAAAAATATGGATCAATGCTATACATAAGATTTATTCAATAGGACAATGTTACACAAGATAATATTTTCCAAAATATTTACATGTGATCAGTGTTGTATGTTATTAGTTGGGAAAAAAAGTTACTAGCTCTTTGATTTTTAGAAATTTTAAGAATAACGATAAAGAATCATCTCAGGAAAAATAAATAAATATCATTACAAACAAAAAAAATTCATGATAAGAAAGTAAAACCGACTTTTTCTTTCTGGACTAAAGTAAAAAATTGAATAAAATATTTTAAGTAGTTAGGAGTAAGACGAAAGCAAGTCACTCACTAAGAGAACTGAAATCATTCATCACGATCTTCTCATAGTTAACATCACGGTTCAAGTGTAGTGTCACTTTGATAAAATTCCAATGGACTAAAGGGATTTATTACCTGGGATAATTTTAGACATAATGGTCAGTCAGTCAGTCAGTTGCAACGTGGAACTTCGTACGTATGTACATAAGTTTAGGTTGCCATACCACATTAACACAGAGACGCAAATGTCAGATCAAATCCCATAGTGATAAAGATAGTAGAGGTATTAATGGTAATGAAGAAGACTAGGGTTTGAAGATATTATTCAAGAAGATAAGTTTAAAAAGACAAAGGGAGAGGTGATGACGAATCCAGAAGATTAGGATTTGAGAGAGCACAACGGATGGATGCACTTGCTCCATTGAAAATGATTTTGAGCCATGTCGTTCAAGGTCTCTAACCATTGGTGACTTTCGTCTCGCAGACCCCAGCCAGGTAGCCTTCATCTACCAACATGACTCAGTCCACTTGTCAGTCACTTCATGCATTTCTGCCATGTTTTGGTCTGACCGCCCCTAACTTTCTTCAAACCTACTACTACACCACAAAACATAGCTCGTCGAGGCAGTCGGTGGTTAGGCATTCGTAACACATGTCCCAACCACCTCAACTGATGAAGTTTCACTACTTCATCAATTGATTTGCCATCCCTACCTAGAACTCGTTTCCTAACGACAGCATTGCTTATACGGTTGTCCCAGGATACACGAGCAATGCTTCGGGACATCGATGATCGAAGACTAGTAAACTACGAATGTCCTCTACTCTTAACGGCCATGTTTCGCATCCGTATAGTAGGACAGAGCTAACTGCTGCAAAGTACACTCATCTTTTGGTTAGCGAACGGACATCATGCCTACGCCATAAGTGACGCACGTTGGCAAAAGCCAATCGAGCCTTCTGTATCCGAGCTGAGATCTCGTCAGTCACCAGGCCATCAGCACTGATAAGACTCCCCAGATAAGTGAAGCTGTCAACACGCTCGACTACTTCACTCCCTATCACTAGTTCAGGTGCCGATGCAACCCATTCTTGAAGCAACATTTTGCATTTCGAGGGGGAAAACCGCATCCTGAACATGCTCGCATTGTTGCTTATGGTAATCAGAAGACTTTGTATTTTGTCAGCGTCTTCACATAATGGATATCAAAGGCGTTCTCATATCTAAGTAACGACTGTCGAAATACTTTGCTGTTGAGGAATTCTACACTAGGATGAAATACATTTCTACAGCTCCACGATTTTCCATAATTATCTTACTAAAGTTAGTTCACAATCTAAAACAGCAAGATCGGTTATTGTTTAGGCAAAGTTAAAAAAAATATTACCTAAGAAATCAACTGGAAACAAGTGAAAATAGATTTAAACCTATGAATTAATAGTAGTCATCACACAACTAAGTCATAATTACACACACACACACACACAAACACATAAAAATACACGTGATAATATTGATGTGTTTGTTTTATTTCACTCAGTAAAAGTGATGCAGACATCTTAGAAAATATTTTTTTTTAAAAAAGAAATGTTTACATACAAAGGCATCAATGAACTAACCTAAATTAGCTGCCGTATTCAACAAAGTCATATAAGTTCCACCCACAGCTGGATCACTTATTCTTGCATGAAATGATACTTGCGTAATAAACATAACAGTGGAGAATACGGTATATAGAGCCAAATGACAAATTATTATACCATAGAACACCCATGAAAATGATACATGAGTTGTAGTCGACGAAACGATGGAAGCAGAATCCATTACGGTATGATTATTATTAAAAGTGATTGGATGAATTGCATTTGAAATTTTAAAGTACGGTGCAAAATAAATCAATGGAACAGATAATGATGCTAGAAACAAACTGTAAGAGAATAATTTTTACTATAAGAAATCAAAAATTGTGACTTATGTTCTAGAGCTACAAAATACCAAGTAATTTGTTAAACACAAGTAAACTGAATAAATTGCAGACAAGCTCTCTTGTTGCATTGGATCAAATGTAAGAACAAAAAACTAGGCATGAAAGGATGTTGTTTACTGAGAAAATTACAGGATGCTTATGCAACTCAGTCTTCAATTAAGCATTTTTACATTTTGTGTGCCCTATGACCCAAGTTGGCTCTTAACTGTCTTTGATCGCTTCTCTTCTTATCTCTAGAGTACTCCAAACAACCTGTACCTTTGATTTCCTGAAACTCTTGTCTTCGGTTGTCGACCATAACAACCTTCACACGGCATTCCACTACATACTACTTATGAGTAATATTCACCATACAAGTATTGAGGAAGTTGAAAATTTTGGAACTACTTTTAAGTACTATTACTGTTTATGGTTCTACTACATGATTATCATTTAAATGGGTTATTATATCTTTATGTTCCCTGTATTGCAAGCTTTTCTTGGACTCATTAACCACTTTTATACGACCATACTAAATAAAAATCACTACTATCATTATTAACTCCGCCTGTAGAACCTTCGGGGCTACTGCCGGTCCCAAGCCCGAATAAAGTAGGAGTAGTAGTAGTGTAGTGAAGGAGAACCGAATTGTATTTAACGAAAATTACAGAGTTACTCAGTAAAATAGAAAAACCATATCGTGACCGTTAATTTGCAAATCTTCAATCAATCATCAATCCATTGTCTGACATTTCACTGTTCATGCGTTTCATACAAATTTGATCGTGTTCCCACTCTTCCTTTCTTGATCTTCCCCCATCTTCTGCTGCCAGATATTACGTTTACACTCACATCATATACTACTTATAAGTAGCGCGCACCACAGTAGTAGTAATATTAGTAGCATTATATTTTTATTTATAGATTTTCATATAGAGGAGATTGAACAGAAATAAAATTTCTGTATTTTTATTGTATAATTAATATATGCTGGAATTATTGTATTGTTATACTCTCCTATTTTCTATACATAGTTCTCTTTATCAAGAACAAAGATTTGAGCAGAGTGGCATGAATTCACTCACCAGTTAATTACAATTAATAATTCCGTATAACACAAAATGTTCAGTAACTTCATCAAATGTCAATAAATACTCTTTTTATTTTACGGGCAGTTCCGTTAATAAATTTACATGTACGTACCAAAGCAGTAGTTACATTGGCCAAACAGAAAGGAGGACATATCTTAGATTGGAGGTAGTATGAGGGCCAACATGTGTTATGGTCTTTATCGTTGTTTACAAGTGCCCGTATCATTTGGTGAGTAAAAGGTCACCAATCCTATAGACATTATAGGTGAATTAATCGATAATAAGACTATGTAATACAACTACCCTCATAATAAAGACCCAGTCATATAAACCACAATACAAATTAATAACATTTCGATTTCACCTTTTAAAACATGAATACATCATCGAAAATGACCATACACTAAAAAAAAAATCTTACCGAGGTAACATTGCCCAAGTGTAATATTTTAATACTCTCGGTCCATTTGTTAGTCGAGTAATGAGTAGTGGTAGGATTACTTCAAGTGGTAATAGTAGAACTCCAATAAAAACAAGTTGTTCTTTTGGTAGACCTTGCTCAATTAGTTTTAGTCCAGAGATGGCATCTGCAGGACAGAAGCATACCTAATTATGTAAAATAAAAAACAAACACTTTAAATTAGCTCTATAATTCTATTGACAATACAATAATTAAACAAACATGTAGTACAGTTGAGAAAAAAAACATCGGTGATTTAATTATTTGTTTTTAAAATATTGTCGATGATAATATGTACGGTACAGATGTCCAAGGTGAAAGAGTATTTCTACCTACATGAATGGCTTCTAAAATATGAGTTTACACGACGTCTACAGAATTCAGTCAATTCAGGTCAATTTGCTTGACCAGTATCCTTCTTCGAAATCATAAATACAATTGAGAGAATCGATTCAAAAGGAATAAAAATAAAAAAAACTCCATACACTGCACAGACTACCTGGTTGGGGTCCGCGAGATGATAATAATCGATGGTTAGATACCCTGAATGACATGGCTCAAAACCGTTTGCAATGGCGCCGGTGCATTTATGCTTTGTGTTCTCTCAAATCCTAATCTTCTGGATTCTTCAACACCTCTAGTTTTGACTTTCTAAACTTTTCTCACTGAATCATATTTCTTGAATAATATCTTCTAACCCTAACCTCTCCGATTACTTCTAATTCCCTTACTACCTCCTCTACTATTGGATTTGAATTGACAATTATATCTCTGTGCTGATAAGGTATGGCAACATGAACTGATGTACTTACGTACAAAGTTCTACGTTGCATCTGACTGACTAACTGAACCACCAATTCAACCTTAACCTTTGTCTATAAAGAAATAGTATGTTTAATCCTTCATTTTACCAAAGGACCTTAATCATCCTTTTCATTTTCTAAAATCTGTATTCTTTTTCTTCGGTTATCTTTCAACAATTTTTATAACAATTAATTAGTCATTATTATAAATTTTAATTAGCAATCAGATCATGGCAAAAATTCTTTTCAATACCTGACTTTTATAAACAACTGATAACACAAAACTATTCAACATTCTATTTTACAAACATACTACTATTTTTATCAAATAAATGGATTAGGAATACCATTGTACAAATTAAGTAGTACATGAAATCATTCACACCAACAAAAAATATATATATCTTTCGCTGAATGATTCTTATTCTTCTTCAATAACATAATAAGTCATTTTCATAAATTAGGAAAGTATGCAGTTGATACAGTGAATCATAAATCATAACAATTAGTCGGAACACAGTGGGGATATCTTCATCAATGTTAACGTCAAGTGCAATAAAGTGAAACAATAAAAATTACTTAAGTGTTTATAAAGAACTAATGTAAGAAAAAAAAACCACCCGGTAAACAAATGTTTTGTTTCAACCAGGTATATACACCAACGCTACAAGATGAAATTCTTTAATTTACTAGACAGACAGACAGATACAACGCAGAACTTCGTACGTAAGTACATCAGTTCAAGCTACCATACCACATCAGCACACAGATGCAACTGTCAATTCAAATCCAAGAGTGATAGTGATAGTAGAAGTATTAGCAATAATGAAGATTAGAGAGCGAAGATATGATTCGAGAAGTATAATAAGGTAAGATAAGTTTAGGAGGAGAAAGATAGAAATTATGAGGAATTCAGAAGGTTAGAATTAGAGAGAACACAAATAAAGGGTGCATCTGCGCAATTGCAAACGATTCTGATTTGCCATCCCTGCCTAGAACTCGTTTCCTAACGACTTTGTTATTTTATTAAACATTGAAATCATGAATCAATCATTGTTAGACCACCATTGGAAACCTGGAAGCACGGGATGGCCGTTTCGTCCTGGTATGGGACTCATCAGCAGTGCTCATCCACGACTTCTGCACCCAGTAGGATTCGAAACCAGGACCTTCGTTCGGTCTTGTACACGAATGCCCAACCTCTAATTTTGTGTAACAAGATTAAATATAAACTACAAAACATATATAAACATATATATAAATATATATTCTTACTTACTTTAACAATGAACAACAATAATATATATTGTAAAATAGGTTTCAATTTACAAATACCTAACATAACACGATAAGTATCCAATAATGATAATTCTTTGTTTGATTTATTTGTGCTCAATTTTTCATCAAGAGTAACTTCAATAATATGACTCCAATTATTTGATGAATAATTAGGAGTATTTGAACGACTTCGAATGGATTTACTGCTATCAACTTGTTTATTATCAATTGAATTTGTTTGTGCGATACGATTTCTAGAAATTGATGATTGTCTTTCAAAAATTTCTGTTTGATTTGAATAAATTGCTGAACCGTTCGAATAATTATTAGTATTATTATTATTAGTAGTAGTATCAAGATCATTCGATTCCATAGATGATAGAACAGATGAATCGATAGATGTTTCCTTTTTTAAAATTCCAACAAGTGTAGTTGTCACAAGAAATACAATACCCCAAAAATAGAGAAAACCTAGTTTAAGAATTAACACAACATATATATATATATATATAAATATAAGTATAGTGTATTGTAATCACAAGTAAATAAAATGAAGTTAAATTTTGAAATAAAATGTAAGGTATGTAATATACATTTATGTATATTGTTATAAAAATTAATTAACTAAAACCCAACTGAGATAACTCAATGTATACACTGATTTAAAACAACCAATCCATGCAACAGGATGATTATTTTTCCAAGTAACAGTGAAGTTCAACCTGTTCGGGTGTAGGCAATGTCTACCGAAGACTGTGCATGAGGTTGCGCAACTCCGTGAATTTGATCAAGTTAGACATTAACACCGTTAGATAACGGCTCAGTGGTCTAACGGTTAGGGCGTTCGAGCATAATGCCGAAGGTCCTGGGTTCGAATCCTGCGGGGTGCAGGAGTCGTGGATGCGCACTGCTGAGGAGTCCAGTACCAGGACGAAACGGCCGTCCAGTGCTTCCAGGTTTCTAATGGTGGTCTAACATTGATCGATTCATGGTTTCTAAAAATACTAATGATTGTTTGATGTTTTCGAATTTCATCGAATAAACTAGCAAAACAATAACATGATGCACCAATTTTGAGATCATTGATGTAATTCAGGTGAGTTTAGTTCAAAAAGATCTATACCTGGACTATGTTGGTTTGAATTAACTGTTCACAGCGGTAAAACAACACATTAACTGTTTACAAAACAATATCTAGTTGATGACGGAGATACTTTCTAGCCGAGTAATTACGTATTGAGTTACACTGTGAGTTCAATGATTTGTGTGATAGGAATAATCTAATCTAGTTAACAAAACCTATAGAATAGTGTAGATGTTATGAGACTCATTATTAATATTCGATCATCAGTGTCTTCGAAGCTTTGCTCGTATATCCTGGGACAATCAAGTTAGCAATGCTATAGTTAGGAAACGAGTACTAGGTAAGCGTGGCAGAACAACTGAAGTTTCACTAATTCATCAGTTGAGGTGGCTGGGACATATGTTACGTTTGACCAACAACCGACTGCCTCGATGAGCGATGCTTTGTGATGTAGGAGTAGGCTGGAAGAAAGTTAGGGGCGGCCAGACTAAAACATGGCAGAAATCCATGAAGTCACTCACAAGTGGAATGAGTCATGTTGGTAGATGTAGACTACTTGGTTGGAGTCCGCGAGGTAATAGTAATCGATAGTCAGAGACCTTGAATGACACTTCTCAAAGGCGTTTGTAATGGCGCAAATACATCCATTCTTTGTCCCTTCTTAAATTCCAATCTTCTGGATTCCTCATCACCTTTTCTTCTCTCTCTCTTAATACAATTGATTTTTCTGGGATATACTTCTAGAATGATATCTTCGATCCCTAGTCATTTTGATTACCGCTATTACTTCGACCTCTGTGTGCTAATGTGGTATGGCAACTTGAACTGATTGATGTACGTAGGCACGAAGTTGTAGCTGACTGGCTGACACTCATTATTTAGTATCCAACAACATTCATCATATAAAATTAAATAAACATTAATTTAAATCTAACCTGAAAAAGTAATCAACCCTTCGCCTTCAACAGGGGTGCTTCGTATATACTTATTACAAATATCCGGTGATTCTAAACACATGAGTACAACGAATGCAATTAAATGACCCAATGTTTGACCAACTGTATTACATGTTGAAGCCCATCCCAAATTTTTTCTAAAATAGGAAAAACAATATCAAGCGAAAAATTCAAGTTTCAATTAGACATGTGCAATCGAAAACAGTAATTATCTTCAGAGATCTAACTAACAAAATAATCGTATGAGTTGAGATTATCAAATGGACTATTGAGAATTAATTATAAGAAGTATGTTAACGCAATTGTCACCCGTAAACATGTGAACAACACTGAGACAAAGAAAGCGATATATCTGTGTTTCAAAGTTCATACATGCCTGTATTATCTTACTAAAAAAATGAACTATGCTTCTTTGCTTGTTATTATAAATTTTGCATATCACAGATATGCACCGATAATTTTAGCCGTGTGAGTAGAAGTTAATTCATTATTCTATATCACAAAAAGTGATCCAATGATTAACATTCGATTTTAACACAACAGCAAATAAGACATGATGACAATCATAAAAAATCTGTTCACATCACATAACTAACATGAAGTGTAAGTTTAAGGTTAATCAGTTCGTCTTACGTGACTATAAGCTGAGGAAGCAAATTTTGTCAGAACTGAAAAAGTGCATTAACTAAAAAATCGATATATTGTAATCAAAAGATGAATACATATGTAAACTCTTAAAAAGAATGCACTTTTGATTCTTCAACTTCAGTTGTAACATACTCTAATTAACAATTCACCTGAATCCATCTGTTTAGGACGAGTCATTCACTGGAAACTGAAACCCAAGAGATAAGCTTAGTATGAAACAGGCTATGCTGATAGTTCAAGTAGGTAATCTAAACAAAGCGACAAACTTGTATACAACCACACTAACGGTTGATGATCTCGATGTGATCAGACTGAATCCAGGTATGAGTTGTATAAAAAGGATGTCAGATAACAAATCGACCATGACTATGACGAATTTGGTGCTGACCAGAAACGGTTAGAATCCAAGTAAACTGAAGGAGACAATCGTTCTTGTCTGACCTATGACGAAACAATAACTACTGGACATTCGAACCACTTTCCTTTGTGCCTACACACCCGACCTATGTAATCACACATCAGGCTAACACAAGAATATCTAAATATATGTAATAAAGAAATCCATTCGAAAATTCACAGGATACTTTTGAGGTGATTTTTTCACTAGCTTTCATCATATGTAGTTTCTGTGTGAATCTGAAATATTGATTTTTAGTGCATTTTTATTTGGTGAACTTTGTTCAACTGATTTTCAGGGCACTTATCTGTATTCATTGATTTTCCATGATTGTTTACATTATACCGGGTTTCGAAATAAATTTTCTCCGACGCTTACTTAAATAATACGGTAATACAGTAAAATAAGACTGGTCTGGGTGATCGAGTTTTATACCACCACTAGTAGATTGGATACTTGAACGGCACACAATACAAGGACTTGATCACGTTGTATCAAATATGCGATTCGCGACCAAAATAGAGAACCACAGGGAAGCGATAGACAATATCTCATTCCGCACAATTACAAACAGTCACACTCAGTGAGTCCAGAGTAGAAATCAATAACAGGCGAAGAAACCACATATTTAATAGTCAGTAAACTAAGTGCCTATTTGTCAACGCTCAAGAACAAATCGCATTTCCTTTTCACTTCCATATTTCAGTTTAGAGTTTAGTAATTTCGGTAACACATCATCACTGGAATTACTCAGTACATAAATGAATGAATTTCAGTGTAATTTAAGCTTCTAAAGTGTTTATCGAATAAGTCTTTCTAGCAAAATTGGCCTTTTACAGAAGTAGTGACTAACAGAGAAGGGTGTTATGGTATATAATAATAATAATAATAACTTTATTCAATATTATATGTTTAGTAAAGTATGGAATTCTCAGCATGAGGGATATCTAAAGTTCTAAGTATCGTCAGAGTTATTATCATAAATACATCAATGCTAATTATTTTTTAGTGAATAGTCGATAAGTCAATCATCGGAAATCAATAATTAATTGTGTACACAAAAACAAAGAATGATGAATTTTCAATGATTTTTTTAATTTTATTTGACGTTACTACCAATGTAATGGAAGATTTATTTACCAATGAATTGATACACAGTTAATGGTAGATTTAGTTTTATAGATTATTTAGTTTAACGATATAAATTTAAATAATAATAATGGATTCATTTGTGTTATAATTTAATTATTAATTTGCTCTACACGATTAGAGTAAGATAATAATACAAGTCACCATTACGAAAGCATAAAAACTCTATGATTGTGATTTTCATCAAAATAACAAAACAAAGTGAATATAAAGAGTTTTTCATGATGCCTTCCTTCATTATTGTATTTGCACAAACACTATTCGCCTTAAGATTGTGTTCTCTCAAATCCTAATCTTCTGGATTCTTTAACACCTCTAGTTTTGACTTCCTAAACTTTTCTCACTGAATCATATTTCTTGAATAGTATCTTCTAACCCTAACCTCTCCGATTACTTCTAATTCCCTTACTACCTCTTCTACTATTGGATTTGAATTGACAATTATATCTCTGTGCTGATGTGGTATAGCAACATGAACTGATGTACTTACGTACGAAGTTCTACGTTGCATCCGACTGACCGACTGATTCGCCAAAGTTGAACAGAGAGAGTAGTTATGAGTTATATTTTTTGCCTAGTTAATTAATCAAGGACATGAAATAGACTTGAATAAAGCTTATCGATTTTTTCTAAGATATTTGATAAACCGCATGGTTTCCGCATTCAATCTGTTTTTATACTGCAGAACTATCCGAATTCTTATTCATAAAACGAACTTTTATGTTCAAAAGAAATCGGTACACAATCCATCTTTCCATCCGATTTATCAGCATAGACAATAACAGAGTGAATTAAAACAAAATTTTTATCCCCAACTATTTTTCATTTGTTTTACTTACATGTTCATAATAAATTTCGATATTTTTCACTTTACATGATTTGAAACATTATTTTATTGGATATTTTGTACTACTCTGTCGACTATTGAACCAATAGGTTTTGGTTTCGATACAAACAATTGTCTTGGATATTTTAATTACCTTAGTCACTTTCATCTTCTTATTCTAACCAGTTAGTTAATCGTTTGAGAATATTTTTATAATCACTTGTAGAACTGTAACGTCATTACATAACGCTGCTGTGATGAAAAACCGGTTGAAAACTTTTCTTTGTTCGATTATCTTTTTATTACATGTTTAAATGGGAATTTTTCACTTTAAAGTAAGAAATATACTCTAACAATTGTTATGATATCTATTTTTCATAGATATATATATCATAAAATAAACTCACTTAGACAACATTGTAAGTGCCCATCCATCCACTACTATATCTTGTGTAGCCGCAAGAAACGTAAGCCCAAAGAAAGCTATAGTCAAACGTGAAATATCCACTGGATGTGTCACACCTAATGGACCCCACGGATTATCAGGTGTACGACCTAACCACTGGTTAACATAGAGCGCGATAATAATTAGATTAATTCCAAGGGCATACTGAACAGGTATAAGCCAGGTTTTCCGTCTTCCTATACGTGAACTGTACAACGAGTCCACTATTGGAGCCCAAGCTAGTTTAAGTGAGAATGGCCAAAATGCAAACGAGAAAGCTGCTTGTGATTGGTAATTAACCGTTTTTGGATCTGCTTGTAGTAAGTAAGGGACTGCAGACGACAGTCCGAGAGGAATGCCCTAAAAATGAGATATATTGGGTCAAAAGTACATAAAGTTAGTTCAAAAAGCCATAACGAAAGATAATTTGAAATCAATGATATGAAAAATATTTACTATATAAGAATGTTAAGGCATACAAACCACACCAGTTTGTTGCTGCATTTTAAGTTGCTACAACTTCAGTTTTCGACCGGAGATATGAAGATTTCGGACATAAACGCTTCCAGTAAATTCAGACACAAATGTGGTATCAAAACTTAATTGTAAAGTGCTTTTAAATATGCCTGCACATATTTTACGAAATCCGAAGTGTAAATGTGTTTAGGTCGACCACCTCACTTACCTCGGGAGTTTCATCAGTACTGATGGCATGATGCGTGATGAAATCTCAGCACAGATACAGAAGGATCGATTGACGTTTGCGTCAAGTATGGCGTAAGAGAAATATCTGTCTGCTAACCAAAGGACAAGTCCACTTAGCAGCCGTTCGCTTCATCCTACTTTATGACTGTGAAACATAGCCAGTAAGAGTAGAAGGCATTCGTAGGTTATTAGTATTCGATTATCGGTGTCTTTGAAGCTTAGTTGGTATATCGTGAGAAAATCGAGTGAGAAATGCAGTTGTTAATAAAAGGGTATTAGGTAAAGATGGAAGATCAATAGATGAAGTATTGAAATTTCATCAGTTGAAGTGGTTGGGACATATGTTACGTATGATTAACAACCGACTGCCTCGATGAGCGATGCTTTGTGATGTAGGAGTAGGCTGGAAGAAAGTTAAGGGCGGCCAGACTAAAACATGGCAGAAATCCATGAAGTCACTCACAAGTGAACTGAGTCATGTGGGTAGGTGTACACTACCTGGTTGGAGTCCGCGAGATAATAGTAACCGATAGTTATAGAACTTGAGTGAACACTCGATCTCTGTGTGCTAATGTGGTATGGCAACTTGAACTGATGTACGTACGTACGAAGTTCTACATTGTAGCTGACTGACTGATATGTTTAAGTAAACTGTTGAAATGGAAGCCGCAAGAACGGAATGAATTTTCAGTGTCTGTATCCAAATTTTTCCATTGAGACTGATTGGTAAACACCATTTTAACTACTTGCTACGAAGGAATGTATTTACCATTAGTTCTAAATCCAGAAAAAGACACCGGTTAACAGTGGGCGGCCTTTCCGAAGGTGAAACAACTGCCATCCGAATCATTTGGTTCAGTATGATGAAAACCAAGTAGCACTTACAAGGGGCTTAGAAATAAGGTAGGTGATGTCTCCAGCTAACCAAACACAAGGATAACACACGATGTGCAACAATCATACCGAATTCCACTATGAAAATATCGATAACCCACAGAAGTGAACCAAAAAAGTATTGAATGAAACAGTAATTCTGGGTTGTGAAGCAAACTCTTCTGCATTCGGATTAATTTTTTGATCAAGGGATGGTATTCGCTAAGTGTATTAAACAAAGACTGTTCAGCAGCAAACATAAAACTCAAAGGTCTGGTAGACAATCGAATCAGCATAAAAATATGCTGATGGTATGCTATAACTACTGGAGCAGCATAATTTCAAGCAACCAGTTGTGCATTTTTGAGTCCTATTTGTTCACGGACTAATGGAGACTTTTATATGCGCTCCGTACTTCAAATGAATGTTTCATATTCGGTTTGTTGCTGCCGTGAGTTTTTCATCTAATCTCAAAGCCTTTCGCATTTAGCCTTTTTAGTGTCCCGTTATTGACAGTTAATCTGTTCAGCAGCATAATTAGCTTCAGAGAGTGTAAGAAATTAGTTGGGAGTTCGAGTTAGATCACGCTAAGGAAAATCTACTACTACGCTACACTTAAAGCCTTAATCTACGCACTAGTCAGTCTATGGAATAATCAAGAATAGTAGAAATACATGAAGTGATCAGAAAACTTACTTGTAATATGTACAGAAATATGAGAAGACATATATTAAAAAAGTCTGAATATTCTTTATCCAATTTTTCATTGACATAAACTTGATTAGCAGATGAGTCATTTACAATTAATGACGTCTTTTTCTTAACCATTTTCACAAAAGTTAGTCGACGACGTTGAAATATAAGTGTTAAGAAGAATATAGGTGTTTCACGCCTTAATTAACAGGTTGTGATGCAAATATGAGGACCCGATTTCGGGAGATTTGACTTCAATCTTAGAAAAGTTGGTTTAAGATTGATGAAGCTCCCCTTGATGAGAACGGAGGGCTGAAATAGAGGACATGAGAGAAAATAAAAAAGGTGACAGTGGATAAGCGAGGAGTTAGGAAAATTAGTAAATAGAAAATATGGAGTGAGGGAGGCTTTAAACTAATTGAATATTTACTCTTGATGAACAGTAATTCTCCTACAGTTGTTGAGCGAATCAGGCAATTTGGGTTGTCGTTGGAAATTGGATTGACATTACGCATAACTGAAACTGAAGAGATTCCGATCTCTCCTGAGATGTTTTAATACAGCATTTGCTCATAGCCACTACCATGGAAGTCAAACTTGCTGCATTCATGAAGAGGGGACGTTGTTTACTAAAAATGGACTACAAGCGAATTTCCGGTAAATCAATCGGATTAACGAATAAGAAAGATAAACCTTAAGGAGTTGGAAAATCCTGGTTCCAAACCAATATTGCACATGAACTCTAAAATCTCCAAGGTAACAGTGGGATATAAACCTATTTTTGGTTTCGACTGTCATAATCATAAGTGGCCTAGGGTACCACCTGATATCTAGGACTGAAGCAGATGAGTTTCTTATGAGGTACTTTTAAAGCTTTAGTCTAGAGGTTTAGTTCACAACTCAGCATAGCAATGTTAACAGGTGCAGCCCGACGTATACACGTATTCAGCAATTTTTTAAGCAAATAACCAACTGTTTAAATGATTATTTATACGCTACACAAATCAGTGTATTTGCATGCTAACCGTGAAACTGTTGTTTCTTAAACATAAGCAAGTGTTATTCTCAGGAAGCCACCACCCAGGGCTTTGACCTGCAGATCTGATTCACAAGACAGTGGAACAACGTTAAGAGATGCAGCCCAATGGTAGCCGGCGACCAACAGAAGGTTCATACTCCATTCTTAACATCAGGATCCTCGGGTACGTGCGCCTTTGGTCTGCAACCAAGAATTTCCAACTACTCTAGTTGGACCCTCTGTACGTACCAACCGAGTTAAGGCCCCTAACATTCGCTGTTTGTTCTATCAGTTTCGTGAATAACAACCCTGACACGAGGAATAAATGAGTAGGAATTTCGTAGCAGTGGCTACATAAGTGAGGAGATATGAAAACATTTTAAGAACGGACACCTCAAAGATTCAAAAACAACCTATGAATGTAGCTTTCATTGACTTCATTAAGGCTTTATATAAGGTCGAATACCATAAGCTGCTACTGCTAAAAAGGCCCTTAGTAAAATTCCCCATAGAAGTTTCGTGACCGGTTTTATCCTCCAATGTGGAAACAAACTCCATAGTATCCTGTAATCACTCGTCTCGATACATGCTGATACCAAAATATGGAGAGCGATGTAAAATGGAAGGGACATTTCTGAACTTCAAAAAGGCCCACAGAAATTGTCTGAAAGACCTAGAATTTTTCAGTAGCAAGAAAGTGGTTCCAACGCGTTATGAGACATATTAGTCACCTAGATATATAGGCGTGTGTACTAAATATTCTTTAGCCACTCAATATTCGAACAAAAACTTATTTTCCAACTAGTAAAAAAATATTGTCCAATATCTATTAAAGGATTCAGAACACTTGTCAAAAGGTAAAGACATAAACCCCGTCGTTTTGGAAATATTCGACTTTGTATTCATTACTTTCTCAACTTAAACTCTAGTATTCCTACAAGCATGCCGCATTTCTTTCCCATTTAAAAACATGGCTACAGAGAATGTAGCAAAAAATTAGATTTTCTACAGCTGAATTAGACAACAGAACAAACAAACCTTCATACAGTAGGAAAAAGGTGCTAAATATGTTAGCAAATCAAAAACGTAACACAGGACAGCATACACGAAATACAGGGAACACGAACAGTCGTAAAAATGGAAGGAATTAAAATTATGACGCAAATAAGCCCTTGGTAACTATCTTTTTGATTTCAAAGTACTTGGTGGGCCAGGAGAGTGAGCAGAACATGAAGTTATCGAGCACAAAGAACAATATTATAAGTGAGCCGACAACGCAAAAAGTGCGTAGAATTCGCTCACTTTGACAGAGGAAGCAAATGACAACAATAATAGATTATGAAAGCATGACGTTAGGATACACTAGCAGTGTTTCAAATCCCCCTCGTTTATACCAACAACCTTGAGGGGCAGTTTGGAGTGTGGACATAGCAGACACCGTATTGTAACGCATTAAGTATACACGACAGTTTTCTGTTCGTTTAGTAGTTAAAAATGGTATTTCCAAAGAATAATTTTACGCACCTTCCAATTAGGATCATAAAATTGCATCATTTGCTAGTTCTTTTACCATGCTTGTTCGCTTGCTGTGCACCAAATGACTGAAACTAACTTGTGCTATGTTCAATTAGTTGATGGATGAGAGATAAATTTAAACAGAACGATTTAGAGATTTGCTTTGCTTTTCTTAAAGGTTTCAAAGTTGTGTATTATTTAGTTGATTCTGTGGTGCTTGCATATTAGACGAAATCACATAACAATGTAGGCAAGAGTTCAAAATAGATACTTCGTCAAACCATAGCTTGGATTAACCGGAAAATGATGAGATTTGACACATGACGTTGAAAAAAGAATTGGTTCTGAGTCGTTGGGTGCATCATGATAAGTCATAGACAGTATCCCTTACATATTTTTTTCGCTAATGTCACAAAACGCGATGGCTCTGATGAACAAGATTTCAAGTACACAATCTATAAAATACTGAAGGCTTTTGTAGATACTAACTCTATATTCCAATGATTCTGAGGTCAATTTATTCACATTGATAACGTATATTTCATACAGTTCAGGAGTCTCGGCATGTTATGTGGTAAACAGATCGGTAGCAAAAAAGAAAATGATTCAATGCTTGCATTTGTATAGTGTGTCCTCATAGAAAAAAGGTGCTTATTCGATAAACATCTTGCACTTCACTAGAGGAAAACCAGTCGCAACTACTTTTGTAGTAGTTCATCTTCTGGTAGAGGATAAGGAAGGGATTATGAAATAAACATTTTGTTTGCTTACAGCTCCCCGCCATATAGTAGAATGTAACAAATCAGTGATAGTGATGTTACTTTTCCTTGTTAACCTTGTCTACGACTCATGTTCGTAACCTTGAACAGGTTTTAACTCCCCACAAGTATATCTGGACAATAATACTGAAAGAGAGCTCACTCATGATTTTTTGAGCTAAAGATTTAAAAAAAGAAGAATGAATAAAATATCATAAAAGCATCAGACCACAATACCTCATCATTATATTCTGTAAATCAACATTATTGCTGACCATTTGGTTCTTCTGAATTTCCTTTATTCATACGTTATTCGTTATCTTAATGCAGAATTGTCTTCATTGCCCCACGTAAGTGCAGGCGTACAGTTATTGTTCTAATTTAAAGAAGTATCTGCTGAGTGATTGTTCGGCTTTAAACAAACAAATTTTCTGTTCTGCTTCTTGCTCCTTTCTCTTTGTTTCGCGATTTTAGCACCTAATCCTACCCCTTAAATATTAGCCTCGATATTGACGAAGATTTGGTTAATTTACTTAGGAACCTGTCAAATTATTATCTTACAAATCTCAACCAGATCACTAGACACTTACCTCATCACTTCCAGTTATCTGCAGGCCTGGATTTAACCTGCATACATTCTCAGCCAGCAGTTGTTCGCTGACACGCGAACTATCGTAACGGTACATTTCAGAGCCTTGTATATTATCTACAAATTATGTAAAAAAACCGATTAACCTAGAAATCCTTAAGCTTTCATCAAACATTCATATAGTATTCGCATATCTAAAGCAGACATAAACCGAAAATCTGTTTGTTTCACGCTGTTTTTATAAAACGTTCATATAATTTGGTGCCTAGACAAACTATACTGGGGCTGGTAGTGAAAGAGTGCAGATAGGTGTACGTGGCGTTCGGAAACGACAGTTTTGTTCGTACCTCATGTTTCAGAGTTTCAGACTGCTATTCCATCTGAAGTTAAAGTAGGCTTGGTCTGCTGATCTGGACGTGAGACCAGAGGCTCATCTGGAGATAGACCAGATGACGCGTTCCGTTGTCTAGGACATGAGAATGAAGCCTCTGAACTATTTAGCCTGTGGCACGAAGGTGTGAAGGGCTCTCGTCAGTGGATTTGATTTGTCTAGAATTGAATCTCAGTTTATCGAGCAGGGAGCTGTTATTGACATGCACTCTTTTGAGGCGGTCAATGCTGACGGTGTTGATCAACCATGAAGCTCTTTTCGTCAATGTAGGTCACTCGAAAAGATCCATAGTAAGGCTGTTGCAAAGGTTTGCGTACCGAATCGGCTCGTATAAAAAATATGAACAGGTAAATAAGTTTCGAGAAAGAGCGACCTGTCGATGCTATAATTGAGTTGACACCGGAGGCAATATTCGCCTGTAGTCAGATAGTCGTTGGGTGTTATCTGATGAACATGAAATTCGCAGCTGCGTGGTCTGAAAGCATATCCGGCCGGATGCAATTTCGTGACGAAAACAGGTTCAGAGGTGGAACATTAGATATCTGCCATTACTGCTCTGCAATCCCTATTCGATCTCCAACTAATGCCATCTTTTTTTCGAAACAAGTGGAGAAGTAAGGCTTAAGGACTTTGAAAAAGATGAAGCAATATATATTAGCAAGTAAACTATCAAACTAATACCTAGCGAAAGCCAGTCGGCGAAGGTTTGCCGTGACTTGGGGTCTGCAGGTGACGATGTGGCTTACCGCATAATTGATCACCAGTTGAGTCTCCTCGGTTTCGTTACTTCGTGGACATTATCAAGTATAACATGAAATACATAATAATGCGAAACAAGTATTGGTGATTCGTTACATATATGCTCGCGCGTTAAAGCCCATGGATTTGATATTCGACGAAATATCGATTAGCTGCAGCCAAGGCGAATCGAGTTGTAGTTCATATAGCTGTAGGGAATCGATACTGAGTACGGCTATGGGAACATCTACAGGGATGAACATCCAGAGATACTGCCAACGATTTTCCAGGTTGCTCGTTAGCCGTCGTGTACTAAATGTAGGAATGAATTAGGCCATTCGCAGAGCGTCGTCCAAGCATCGTAGCTTGAGACTTTCTGCTACCAGACGATACAAAAGTAACTTAGGCGCCTGTGGCCACCAAGTACCTTGCGTTAGATTACATAAACTATGCTACAATACTAAAATGTAAGTTTGTGGATGATTCTCAGTCAATACTGAAGCTCGAATAAAGCATCGGAAATAAATTACTGTTAAAACCTAAAAAAAATCTTCAATTATGCATACAACGAAGCTACTACAGCGAGCACTGTAGGTCTCTGACTATACAGTTAGCTCACGTAAGCTCATCGAATGAAAGTGCTCTTGCCCTTGTATTCGCTGTTCGCCGTTTCCAAAAGTTTCTGTGCGGTCAAAGATTCACGCTTCTCACAGATCACAATCCTGCGCTAGCAATATTCGGTTCAAAATCTGGTATTCCATCCTGTTCTGCAAATCGTCTCCAGCGATGGACCTTGGTGCTTTTGGGGTATGATTTCGAAACCCAGTACCGACGCACTCTACAACCCAGTAAGCCAAACGCTTTGTCAAACCTAATTAATGATCGAGTGGAGGCTCAGGAAAACATGGTAATCGCATCTCTGTCAGTAGAAGACCACGCGTACTGTTATCTGACAACCGCGCATTACCGGTGTCTGCAACAGACAGACGAAATGCTTCTAGAAACGACCCTATCATCAAGATGCAGATGAAAAATGTCAACAACTGTTGGCCGACTAAGAAATTTGATGGTAACATGAAGCAGCTGTATCAGAGGAGGGATTCACTATACTTCGTAAGCGACTATTTGATGTTTGGAGAAATAGTGGTGGCGCCAGAATACCTTCGTTAAAGTTACACCTTGGTCATCCAGGGGTTGGACGAATGAAATCCATAGCCAGGAGTTATGCATACTGGCCTCTCATGGATCAAAATATCATAGCGGTGGTTAAAAAGTGTATACATTGTCAGCAAGAGGCAAAGATGAATGCCATAGTTCCGCTGGTTTCATGGCCCAAACCTGATCATCCTTGTTCCAGGATACACACCGACTTCGCTGAACCAATCAATGGACCTATGTATTTAGTTGTGGTCGACGCCTTTGCAAAATGACTAGAAATCAGCCCTGTAATGCCGCCCACGACAACTAAGATAATACAGCTCCTCACCGAAATTTTCTCTCGAATATCATACCAGATGTGATCGTATCCGACATTGTGTCTCAATTTATCTCCACGCAATTCCAGACTTTCTGTCAATTGCTAGTCATTAAACTCTTACTCTCACCACCATACCTCCTGCAATAGAATGGGCAAGCGGAAAGCTTTCTGGATACGTTTAAAAGAGCATTTATTAAGTCAAAAGGGGAGGGGACATCAGCCGATGCATTGCAAAATTTCTTGTACGTCTATTGGACAACACCAAATGAATTGTTACCGGAGCAAAAGTCCCCAGCTGAAATCCTGATGGGAAGAAGATTGAAAACGATCAACAGCCTGATGCATCCAAGTAATGCATCAATACCAGTGGAGTCAAAGTCGGAAAGACAACCTGCGTACGAAGTGGGATGTCTTGTGTTTGCATGTGACTGCAGAACAAACCGTGGTCGTCGGACAGAAGCGTGAGTGGTAAGAATTGTTGGGCGTGTTATTTACGAAGTAGATACGCAAATGGCTAGCCCTAGATCGCCCATCAACAGGATCAAATCCTCTCCTTGGTAGTCTTAACTTGGGACAGCTGGAATAAAGTAGCCTGTCGGATCCTCGATCCTTCATCTCGTTTTCCGACTAAGGTAAACTCGTAATAGTTCAGGCATAACAAATGGAGCTTTTACGTGCATGCTTAACAATTTGCGACGGTGGTTTTGGAAATATCGATCCTGACAAAATGGAATTATAACTGATGTAGATGTTGACAGATTTCATGATTTCCCTTTCCACACAGACCAGCTCATCTAATGCAACCACAGCTCCATCAGTCGACGGCATAGGAAATAGCATTGCTGAATTTCATCATGATCCTGAAGTGCATTTAGTACAGTATATACCTAACCAGAATAAATGTGCACCTGCTACACCCAGTTCATCCCGAAAGTCGAGAACGAATCCTCCTGGTTCTT